GCGACGATTCCTAAACCAAGTTGAAATTTCATCAAATTATTCTCGATCGTTCGAGACAATAAATTCGATCCATCTTGAGAACTGTTCTGTTTCTTAAATTTTAAATTCTGTGATTCCAACGTATATTTTATATTCATATTTCTTAATTAAAATCCCGCTTTGCATTCGTATGTCGCCGTATAATCGCTATCCCATCCCATTTTATTATTATATTTTCATTCTAGAGGGCTCTTCTCATTTGGTTGATAACCTTCTTATAAATATAAATACGAGTGCAAAGAGTTAAAATCTTACATTACTCGCAAGAAGATGTCATCTATAAACGGGTGACGCTTTCTTCTTCAATAAAAATAAGATTTTAACCATTCACATTTGTATTTATATTTTAACAAGGTTAAATATCTCGATCAAGTAAGAAGAGTTATATTAATGTAAATATATGTATAATAATAAAATGTAGGATAGTTAAAAGAAATTTAATGGAATAAGCAGAAAATGAAATAAAAATATAAAATATATTTTGGAATCAGGGAATTTAAAATTTAAAAACATATTTGAAAATTTTAAATCTAAAATTATACCGTATATGGTAACATAGGAGGGTATAATATAGAAGTGAAGTTACCAATTAGAGGCTTATATTCAGACCAAAATACTTGAAATTGACATTGAAAATAAACGAAGCAGGCACTGAAGGCAACCACAATTCACAATCGGTAATTACATAATTAGTTAATGAAAACTAAGAACTAATATATATATATATAAATATGTCCCAACTAAATTTCATATTAAAATATATAAAATAAAAATAATAAAACTTCCATTTTACGCTCTGCTCTTACGTTCTTTCCGACAGTAACATTTGGGCCCCCTTTTCGCGACGAACTCAACGAAATCACGCTGCCCGACGAACGTGTTAACGATGAGATGGATCGAGGGGATGGTTAAATGTTTAAAAAAAAAGTGCGGACATTTCGCGGTGAAATATTTCGGTGAAATAATCGGGAAGATAACAAAAATCACAACAGGTTGACGAACGTCCGAATTGGAGGGGGGAAAAACGTTCGATCGGATCAATTCGGGGAACGCTTCTGGAATCGGATTTATGTACGCGGCCTGCTATGAAAATTTGAGCACGCGCCATCGTGGATCCGGCCACGGTGGAGCCCTCTCGATAATTTGTCAGGATCAGAGATGGAGGGGAGGGGAGACACGCGTGGAGTAGGGCCGCGTCGAATTTATGATAACGATAACATTGAATAATTCGAGGCGAGGATTGATGGCGGGCCAACGAACGAATCTCGTTCGAAATTAACGTGCGATTGACAAAGATGCGAGACGTTGTTGTCTAACCTTTCTTCTTCCTTGAGAGAGAGAGAGAGAGAAGTCGATCATCTCTCTTTTTCTACAGATAGAAGCCGGAGGTTTTTATGGAAGTGTAAATCGATATCTGTTGCGGTTGAAAATATGTGTAACGTACGTGTGTAACGGTTAAAATATTTACGCTTTTCGAAATGTAAGACATTGTTTCTGTTGAGAGGAGGTTGGTTTTTCGAAACGCGAATCTCTGTCGATAATTGATCGAGAGAGAGATCGATGGATTCTTCTTTTTTTTTTTTTTACAAAAACCCGACTCTACCCGACCGTTTTCAGAGGCTTCTATACCTAGATGTACGAAAGTGTATAGGTCAATATTTGATGCGCGGTTGAAAATACATAAGAGCTAAAATATTTACGCTTTTGAAACTGGTCTTGTGTATGTAGGAAATAAAGTTAATATTTTAGTAGAATGGTAACTTTTTCCTGCCTCCGTGGCTCGGATTAAAATGTATGTATTTCCATGATATCCAGGCGTACGGGATTGGATATCTCTTTCGGTTTTAAAAGTTTTTAATAAAATTGTTAAAATTAGTTCGGTGGGGAGGGGAAAAAAAAAAAAAAAACGATTCCATGCGAAATTCCCGTCGAAAAAATTGTTCCGATTGATCCGCCACGTCGAATTTTCCGAAATTATTATTCGTTGAACAAACGCTTGAATATCAAGCGTCGCGGCGGAAAAGTAAATTCGACATCGAGAGTAAAAAGTTAAAATAATCCTTTCCCTCCTTTTCCCGCTGGAATAAAAATCTGCGACGGATGATTACTCCTTCCTTTCTCATCCCTTAAAAAGCTTGCTCCCTGTTTCTTTTTTTTTTTTTCTCTCTCGTTACAATTCCATCAACCAAAACGAAATGTATTCTGTAACAGAAGAAAAATGAAATTAAATCGATTTAATATTCGAATTCGATAATTTTGCTCTAAAGTCCGAATTTTGAAATTTCAAAGTTTCTGGGTCACGCGTTTATAATATAAATTATATATAAAAAACGTAAGATCAGTCACAGGTGTCAAGCATGTTTCAAGTCGTTATTTGCGCGGAACGCAGTCGAGGAATGCGTTCAATTTCCTTTACGTGCCACCTTGAAGCGTTTCAGCGGGAAGATTCTTGAGGAAGCTTTCGTTTTTCGGTCCGCAGAGCTTCGAACTTACGAAAACCGGCCGGGGATCTCCGTTTTAGAACTCATCAATTCCCCCATGGAAACTTTGAAAAGCCGAGAATTTAATTACTCGTGAAATTTCATTTCTATATCGTGCTCCATGTCTTGCCTCCATATTAACGTCCTTTTTCTTTTCTTTTCTTTTCTTTTTTTTTAACTTCGAAGCAAACTTTCACGACGCAAACTTCGTTCGCGCATCGAATTAATTTCTAATTTTTTATTTTCTCCGTTTTTGATCAGGATTAACGTTCCATACGCGAACGATACAATTCGAAATTTGGAATTTTCAGATTGTGAAACGATTTGATTAATAATAAGAAACGTACGAAAGAAGAAGGAATGTATTAAGTTGTAATAAATGACAATCAACTCGTAAACTCTACTCATATTTTGATTCTGTTCTTCTCTGTGTAATAACTTCTATTTGGAATGTTGTTCTTGTCGAGTGCACCTGAAGCGTATCAAAATTAGGTTAGCTTTCGAGAAGAAGATTCCATCGTTGAGAAGACCGTTCAAAAATTCGGACCTGGGAACGAGAATCTTGAAAACGAGTCCCGAGGTAGACCGAAATCCATATTAAACGAGAATAAATCGAAAACGAGAGTGGAAACGAAGTTGAACGTATCTGGAACGACAATTTTCGCGTATTCGAGTGGAGCGAGTAAAGCGAAGAAACTGGAAAAGCGACGCCAACCGGCGAAGAATCGAAAGTTGCGGCGCTTCGAAGCGTGGTCATCGCGCGAACCTCGAAACGACACGAGTCTATTCTCGAATGGAAATACGAGCTGTGAGGAGAGACTGTATGGCGGTCTGTAAAGGGAATAATTCGTTGTTCTTTTCTGAAAAAAGATACCGTGACAGCAGCATTCTATTGCTAAGAAATCGATCAAGAAACAAGCCGCGTTAGTCGATAGGCACGAACCTATCCTTCTCCTTCTATGACGTAGATATTCACTTCACAGATATTTCATCGATATTCATGCTTTCAAAAAATAAAATATTCGACGCTCGAGAATCTAATCGCAGCATTCGAAAAATTTCTTCGTTAGAGCCAATGGCTTATTGTTTTTCTTCTTCCAAGGAAAATAATAAATTTCGACCTAATATATAGATGTAAATCGTTGTAAGTGTTGCAATTGAAAAGGGAAGAAGCAGCAGTCGATTCACGCGCAATTAAACGTGTACTATATCCTGTATACAGGCGTATAATAGAGGCGGTGATTTTTGAAATTTGATTCGGTCGGTAAGATGGAGCGGCAAATAAACTCTTTCCACAACGCTGAGAATCTATTAGCGGAACTTGTTATTAAACCCTTGGGGCAAGCAATCTCGCCTAAATGGTAACCACACATGTTCCCTTGCACGAGTTCTCTGCTGCACAACGTGGCAAGCTTCGAGACTTACAGTATGATCTCGAGAGTGGAAACAAAACGGCCGATATTGCTATAGCGCGCTGTTAAATTACATCTCGAAATTTCCGCACGCTGCACGAGACACGACGAATGTCTTATCAAGCGTAATTAACAGACGTGATTAATTTCCAACAATTTTTTTTCTTCCTTCTTATTTTTATCGTCCTCGAAGAGAACGAGGAGATGGAAGTAATTACGTATAAACGCAAGATCAACAAGTTAGTTGTTGTTAGCATATCCTCGCCTTCGATATTGCAGGATACGTGTCATCCACGAGGTCGATCAAACGCAACAATCTTAATTGATCGAGCCCACCGTATACCGTGGTCCGTTGATTGGTACCATTGATTGGAACTAAGATCGATCTATCAGTTGAATGATCAAACTGAATTAGCGTCGTATTAATCCGATCAATCTTCGATCTCGCGTTATTAAATAAATTAAAAGACAATAATTTCGCGTCGTTAAAATTTATCGACCTTCATAAATTCTCCTCCTCTGTGAAGAAATAATTACCATCGTTGTTTTTTCCCCTCCTCCTCTTCCTTCCCTTACAAGCTTTTTCAAATGAAATTTTCGCCCGTGATGTGGAAAATAATGGAGATATGCGAGAGGTTGGCGACACGTTTTCCGCGTGACAATGTGCGTGTGTGTGACAAAAACAGGGGCGTGCTCGAAACGTCGCATGTTTCTGAATATACTAATATCACGTAACCGTGAGTTATAGAAATAACAATAGGTCACGTGGGCCGCTGTTATCTTTACCCTACGCTACGCTAGCGCCACACGTTGCCGCCGCGTGTTATTGTCACGAAATTCAGAATCGCGCCTCGGAATAATATCGAATTACTTCCTACGCGAGTAATAGCGTAAATAAAAGAAAAGAATGGAAAAAAGGTATATTATTATCGGTATTTTATTTCGGTTGAACAAAGAAACGATTAATATCGTTTCGTTACGTTACAATTTCGCCCAAATTGATTCGATTCGTTACCGAGTTATTGTGGTTTCTCCTTGGTTACCAGAAATCTCAAAGTTGCGTGTATACGTATATATATATATATATATAGAATAGTTTGTTCCTCGTTTCTGCTTCGAATACTTTCTGCATAGTTCTCGCGAATTACGCCGGCCTCGTAGTAGAACAGGGAACAGTGCGATTTAAATAGTTGGTAAAGATTTCTCTCGGAAAAATTCGATAGGTGTTGCTTGTCTTAGCTTTCCTTCTAACGATTCCATCATCTTACATCTATCTTTTCGATATTTTTTTCTCTCTCCTCATTCGTATCCTTCTTATCTTATCTATCGACGTTCGAAAATTGCGGAACATTTTTTTTTTTTCCCCCTCGAAAACAAGCTTCGCGAGCGCTCAACTAACGTTCCCCCCCCCATCCCCCCTTCCCCATAAAGGGAATCCGCGTTTATACACATTTATTTATTCACGCGTGGAGCATGTTTATTTTAAAAAACTGAATAAATAAAATTCGGATAAAATTAATCGCGCGCGATTTAATCGAAAATTTTGAGATTGAAATCGCGTTTTTTATTCAAGATCTTCCTTCTTCCGACGATTCGAAATATCGTGCTCGTATTATTATCAATAACAACCAACTTTTCGTGTTGTGTAAAAATTAGCTCGGGAAAAATAAAAAAAACATCGATATTTTTTCCTCCCCCCTCAGAGAGAGAGAGAGAGAGGAGGAAGCTCGGCTGCGTGTTGCCGGCGATTAAAAATCATTACTCGAAATGAAGGTAGGGGCGGTTGCGTGGTTGCGCAACCGGTTACCGGTGACCGATCTTTGCAGTATCGGTTTAATGGATAAATTTTTCCCCCGAGTGATTTTATCGGGACAACCGGCGCGGGATACCCTCGACTTTCTACGAGTGCATTCCAGGGGGGAAGAGGGGAGGTGGAGGTAATTTTTTTCCGGCACGTCGAGCGTTTGCGGAGGCTGGCTCGAATTGGACTGGGAATTACGCGGCCTCCAATTAAATTTCTCCATTGGTCCGCCAGTGTGATTCGAAATCGATACGTATCTACGTACGGTGGTACCTCGAGTGACATCGTGTAATAATGTCGATAAGCTGACTCGGTTGGATGCCGAACGTGTGAGGGGGAAAAAAAGTGTGTGTGTGAGAGAGAGAGAGAGAGAGAGAGTTTTTTCCCTCGTCGATCTGGAAAGTCTTGCGCTGTTGATGTCGAATGGAAATCCTGTAATAGTCTCGTCGTCGAGCCACGATTTTTCGGTTCATTGAAAATTTTTCTAACGTTCGTCCCGTCACGATTGATTTTAATATCGATCAAACTTTTCTTTTCTTTTTCTTTTCTTCTTCTTCTTCTTCTTCTTCTCAAAGGAATGATAAAATGAGCGATTATGAAAAACGAGGCTTCTTATCCCTCGTTTCGAAGGTTCGAGAAAAAAAAGAACGGTGTCGGAAGGAATTGTCCGATCTAAATTGATATATAAAATTATGATGTATAATCGTTTCTTTATATAAGAGATATAATACTTGGACTTTCCGTGTTTCAACGAATGTTTCTCGTTACACAGAGCGATGCAACTCTCTCTGTTCTATTACTAATTTAACTTGGGGACGGTACGCCAGCGGTAAAGTTAAATCGAAGCCGAATGAAGGTCCTTGGACGTGTTTCCGCGGCAATGACGACAGAGCTCGCTCGGATCGTTAGAACGAAAAGCGCCAAGGGTTTCGTCACTCGTTACGGGAAGAGAAAAGAAACACGAAGGAGAGAGAACGATCTTTTCTTTCAAATCCTATTTACTTGTTCATGTTAATTGATTTATACTTTTTTTTTTTCTAACATTTCTTCGTATCAATCGTTTGGAACAATTTATCCGCAATGACGATATTCTAGGCAAAAAGGAAGGAGAAAGAAAAATTGTTGAATACGCGATTGCACGATTATCGCTTTCCGCGATAGCCGTTAGTCAAACAACTACGGGGCACGAGTAATGTAAACGACAAAAGTTGATCTCTCGATACACCTCCTTTAAATTCAATTCTCTCACGTGTAAGCTTAGAACACAATCGTTAACAACTTTTCATTGATATCCACTGTACACCTTTTTTTGCACATGTCCGTGATATTCGTTGTCAGTCGTGTATGTGCGTGCAATTTTGCAACATTTCGCAACCGATTCTTCTATTTCTCTTCCTTCGATTATTTTGTTTATATAATTTTTCGGGACGAAAATTTTATCGTTTGAAGACGAATCAAGATTACTTAGAGGCGATTTCGTGCAGGATCGATTCTGCATCGTTCTGCATTTTTTATAGAAATATTTTTGCAATAATTTCTTATCGAGTGAAAGTTACAGTGAAAACGAACGAAGCGGAAAATTACATCGCTGTTTTCTTCTTCTTCTTTTTTTTCAAAACTTCAGATTTTGGCACGGCCCGGACGGATCGTTAAACCGGACGAAAAAGTTTTGGCACCGTTCCCTCGTAAATCAATGACGGTAATGCCTGGATTACCGTGGCCTCGAGTTGTTGGGTGTTAATGCAACCGTTGTTGCAATATATGCAATAGAGATTCAACGGGTGTGCTTACGGAGAACTTAGCTTGTACAGTTTTCGATTTGCATATATATACAAACATCCTCTCCTCCCCTTGTTCATCCGAAATTCGTGTTTTCTTAGTCATACGTGCGCAAGCTTCAAAGCTTCGTTAGTTATTTTTTATTTGTTTGCCGGAGGATATTTTTATTTTGCCGTATGCTATACTATATGTACATTTATACAGGTAGAAATATCTAGCTCTATTTAAATTCAACGAAACAACGAAATGCAATTTTTCGCGTCTGGGGTGATATCCTGGCGTGATGCGGAGAACTTGCAGTGTTTTATTTCGATAACTTCTTTCTTTTTTCCCTCCCCCGTTTTGGATATCGAGAGTTCCCTGAGAATACGAAACAACGAGTCGATATCGAGTTTCCTGATCAATTTACCCGACCATTTCTTCCCTCCCCTCGTCCAAACTTACAAAACTCTCCCAACCAATTTAATTTCACCAAATGCGAGTATATAAGTATCGATTATATGTACTTGTGGTTTCTTGTGGTTTCTTTCAACTTTAATTGCTTCAACGATTATTAAAGTTTTTTTTTTTTTCCTCCCCTCGAAATATTAATTTCCTTTGTTTTGTATCGTAAATTTATCGAGGAAAGGAAAAAAGGGAAACCCGTTATGCAAATCGATGATAGCGATCGTGAATAGCGTGTTGGATAGATAAGCGTATTATCATAAAATGAATTAAAATCAGTTTTCAGAACACTTGGACCGTGTTCACTTGATTACGATCCTCTTTAAACGCAAATAATGACACTTTTCATCCGCCTCGGATCGGCTCGTTTACGGGGAGGGATGAAGGGCGTCCTCGATTATAAAGCTTCGAAACCGTTTTATAAGCTCCGGTGAGAAAGGACAAGATCGTTAAAACACGAGTTGGATAATAATAAACTCCGTATCTTTCTTTCTCGCGAGGGGGACGAAAAGTGGGGACGAGAGAAGGAAGGGAGGAGTGAGGGGGGCGAAGTGAAAAATGCTCAACGACCTCTCGACCTCTCGATGTTCGGTTCTTCGCTCCTTCGTTCGAAATATTTAAATCCGTCGGACTATTCGTATTCGTATTCTCTTTCGGTGTGTTTCAACTCTTCGACTTTCTTCCCTTCGTACGAATCTCGTTCCTCGGGCAAGGATTAACCGGCGATATTATTCTTCAATTTGGATTAAGCTCCTTCTTTGCGGAGAACGACTTTTCCCGGCTCTTCACGGGATCACGAACGGGGCTGAATCGAAGAATGGCGAACCGTGTTAGCCAGATTGATCCCTTCCACGTTTGCGGTTTTTCACAGGAATTTCCCAAGGAGGAAATTTCACTAAATATTGTTATTATTATTATTATTATTATTATTATTATTATTATTATTATTATTATTACGCGTTGTATGCGCCTCTCTAACGATTATCCATTAACGTGATGAAAATAGGAATTACGAAGATGTACGAATTGGTTAGATCGCATATTTTTCGCGTTACGCGCTATTAAAATTAGGGGAAAAATTGAACCGCTATAACTTCGAAAATAACGATTTCCTATCAACGAATCAACGATCGTTAGAAGCGCGGATTCTTGCCCTTTAAAATCGTCTTTTATTTATCTCGATACGACTCCCCGTTGTCGAGATATCGTCGTGTAAAGAGAAGGATAATTTTTCGTTTTCTATTTCTCGTTCTCGTCCGTTTACTCGGGCTTGTACTTTGTCCTCTCACTGACCTTATCTTAAAGTCCAGACGAGTGACAGACGCGAAAACATTGTAATACGCGCGCTTCTTCTAAGCGACTACTCTATTTACAAACGTTTTAAGCGTCACGGTCACTTTGAGACTTTGTATCTCGACAACCGATCGAGACCGATCGGAAAATAAAACGAAAAAGCGACTTCACGGTTTTCTCTGCTTTCTCTCGAGTGAGTGAGTAAAATTTTTACTTTCGTCGTGCCTTTAACATTTTTTTTTTTTTTTTTAATTTCAAAAAGTTTCATTTACGACAGTTTTAACGTGTACGTATATACGATTTAATATACGTTTTACATTTTATATTCTTATTTGATCACGTTTTAGTTGCATAAAAATCCCGGCGGTTATGAGGATCATCGATCGTTCTTGGACTTGTTACACGCGTTTTTTTCCTCTTTTTTTTTTTATCGTGGAAAGTTATACGTTGAAACGATGATATATAAAATAGCATCGCGTTATTGGCGTTACAAGCTTCTGATCTTTGCGGAAGATTAAAAACGTGCTCCACGCGTTGATATTAAAAGCTTTTTTTTTTTTTCTTGCTTGTAAGAACGACTTTGAGAGATGTAAAATGTTTAATGTTATCGTAAAGCCTTCTTCCTTTTTCATCAGCTGGCCTTGGAGATATTGTCTTTCAAAAAAAAAAAAAAATAGAAGATCACTCGGTTACGGGTACGTTTTAATACCGAGCTTTACATTTTCAAGTGGAGCTTCGAATAGCAAAGAAAAAATCGTCGAAGATCGTTTTTTTTTTTTTTTTTTTTTTTGCTTTCAACGACTCGTACATTTTGACTCGTATTACGAATCTTCTATGCTTTTCTACGTTTCGATTTATCGAAACGCGCAAATAAATTGGAAAATAAATACAATCACAGTTCTAAAAGTATGAAACGTATAATTATATATTTTTCCAACAAATTTTCGGC